TACACAGAGTCTCTTTTATGGTTCCATACAAATCTTAAGATTGCATTTTTTTTTTTTTTTTACTTCTGTGAAGAATGTTGTTCGTATTTTGACAATGAAAATTGTGTTGAATCTATAGATTGCTTTGGATCATAAGGATTTTGATTATGTTAATTCTTCCAACCAATGAATATGGGATATCTTTCTATTTATTTGTGTCCTCTTCAATTCCTTTCACCAAAATTTTATAGTTTTCATTGTAGAGGTCTGTTCACCTCCTTGGTTAAATTTAGTCCTAGGTATTTCATTCTTTTTAGGAGTTATTGTGAATGGGATTACCTTATCAATATCTTCTTCATCTATTGCACTATTGGAGTATATGAACACTATTGATTTTTGTGTATTGATTTTGTATGCTGAAACTTTACTGAATTTATTTCTTAGTTCTAGTAATTTTTTGGTGGGGTCTTCAGGATTTTCTATGTATATGATTATGTCATCTGTCAATAGGGATAGTTTGACTTCTTCCTTTNCTTTGTATGTTGTCTTTGAGCTCAAATTCTTTCCTCTGTTTGATCAAGCTGCTGGAGCTTTTTAATCAATGTTTTCAATTCAGATAATGTATTACTTTTAGCATTTCTATTTTTTAATTGATTCTAGTGCTTTGTGAAGTTTTTTATTCTGCTCTTGAGTTGTTTTCTTGATATCATCTAATTTTCTATGTGTATTTTCTCGTAACTACCTGAACACCTTTAAGAGGGTTATTCTTAATTCTCTGTCAGATATTTCATAGATATGCTGTTCTTCTGGATCCACTGCTTGTACTCTGTCTCCTATGGTGGTGTCCTATTCCTCTGTTCTTTCTCCATCTTTGTGTATTTATGTTGATTTCTAGGCATTTGTAGCAGACATTTACCTCTTCTAGGTTTTATAGGTGCCCTGTGGTGGTATTTGATCTTTACTGGCTAATATCAGAACTTTTTCTCTGACCTGTGATTCCCGCACTACCCTCCCGCACCCTGTCCTGACCCCATTCTATGGTACATTAATAGATACCATGGCTAAACTCTGCACTTGAACTAATTTGTCCTGTGGTTAATTCCAAAATTAGGGGAAACTTTCTGTGGGGACTAGCTTGAGCTCTGTGCCTGAGCTAGATTGCTGCTTTCCTGCTGTTTCTCAAACTGGGGAAAGCTTTCTGTATGGACTGGATACTAACCATCAGCCTTTCAGTCACTTACAGGTCTTGTGGAGTCACTACAGACACAGCTGGGCTGTGTGGACTTGCCTGGGACAATCTGTCCTGCAAACTGCCTCCTGCAATCCTATCACTCTGACCAATCTCCACTGTGTCACGCCTGTGCTGATCAGAAGACAGATCAGCTTTATATGCTGAGCCCCAATGCTCTCCTGGTGGGTTACCCTCTACCCTCAAACTCCAGAAGTTTCCCATGAGGCAGGCCACGCAGCAGCTCACAGGAAAGACTCACGGAACTCTGGGTGGTTCCTTCCTTCCATCAGCTGCAGCCCCTTACTCCTATGTGGGTTCAGAAGAAACATGCTGTGGCTTTGCTGGCCTTGGAGATAAAATGGTACACTCTGAAGCACCCTTCTCCCCTACAGACTCCAAGTAGCTTTAGACAAAGCGTACTACTGTGGATTTGCTGTCTCCTGGTTGCTGTTCCATGTGCGGCAGCTGCTTCATGGCTTGTACCACACTGGTCCTGGAAGCATCCAGGGTATAGAATGGTTGGATTGGTCCCTCGTACTACTGTGGATTTGCTGTCTCCTGGTTGCTGTTCCATGTGCGGCAGCTGCTCCATGGCTTGTACCACACTGGTCCTGGAAGCATCCAGGGTATAGAATGGTTGGATTGGTCCCTCCTACCTCTTGAATGGACTTTCATTCTTTCACAAACTTTACAGGTCTCTCCTCTTCTTGCCCTGAGCTCCAGCATTCTCAAGATGGCAGTTTTTGTGTTTTAATAGTTGTAAATTGATAGGTTGTTGGGCGGGGAGTGATGTTGGGAACTATTATGCCATCTTGATGATGTCACTTATATTCCCTACTGAGCTCCTCACTTTCAAACATAGATATTAGGCATAGGTAGATACAAAAATAATGAGTTTTATTTGGTTGTGTATTTAACGGTGATGGGGATAACAGGAGTACATCAAGTCTTACTTCATTGAGATAGTTCAGAATCATTTTATGGCTTTTGAAATTCTTTATGTGCATCGCATAAGTTAAGTTCTGCTTCACTGCATCTTCTACTTTGGCTGATTCTTTTGACTCATAATAAATACAGTCTGATTGGCACTAGTGGTTGGTTAATAAAAGAAGTCAATTAAAATATAAAATTATTTACAAATCTTTTGATATAGGGCTAGGTTTTTAAATGGTGAGTTCATTCTTTAGAGTTCTTGCTATTTTTCTTGCATAATTCAAACCCAAAGTGCAAAACTCATTCTTTCTAGTTTTGGTTTCTTTAAACTGAATTAGAGCTTAAAAGACATTTGTAAAGAAAACTAGGTGCAAAATTCTTGATTTTTGTGATTATTCCCCCCCAATCTTTTACAGTTGTCTCTCCCACACACATAAAACAGTCCTCCCCCCCCCCACCACCAGCATCAAAATTAATCATTAGAAAGGTATGTACAAAAAGAAAACAGGTTTAGGAATAAATACAATTAACCCATAGTAATCATATAATTCACTGCTAGGATAATAACTAGATAACAGATAACTATCAGAAAATGTTCAAGTTACTTCAGACTCTGTAGAGCAGGGCTTGGCAAACAAAAGTCAATGGGCCAAACCCGGTCTGCTGCTGTTTTCTTTGTAAATAAATTTTTATTGAAACATAGCCACACCCATTCATTTATATATCATCTATGGCTACCTTTGTGCTACAAAGGCAAAGTTTAGTATGGCTTGAAAAACCCAAAATATTTCCTGTGTGGCCTTTTACAGAAAAAGTTCATTGACTCCTTATTCAGAGGTATAAAGAATACTGATTAATTTAATAAGTAGTTACCTAGTGGTCAACTAAAACAGTTTTCGTTATATACGATGATCAAATTTTGTTAGGTTTGGAGAAAGGCAACATAAGGTTCATTGTCATGGGTAGATACCTCAAATGATGACAATAAAGTCACCTAGTATTTTGTTTTTTTGGCTACTGGTTCTTGCTATAGGACTGATTCGATATATACATAAAGATGACAGACTTTTCTATGAGCTAATTCTGTCAGACTTCACCAATGCTCAGTCACTGTCTTTTAATATTGGGGGGAAAAGACCAGTAGCTTTCTTTTTCTATTTTTAAATGTGAGTATTTTCCTGATATATTTTTCATTTACCTGTGTTCTTGTTCTTTCAATGTGAGAAGTTCATGAAGTTGTTGCACTTGTTCCTTTTCTTGATGAAGGGAAGTTCTAAGTAAGTTTATTTCTCTATCAGCAGCTGAAGCTTTGAGCTCTACCTCTTGGATAAGTCTCATCTGAGTAAAATACATATAATCATAGTATTCAGATAATAATCTCAGATAATAATTTTAATGACAATTCATATGAGAAAAGTGCCTTCTAAATCACAGTACCTAATAACTAAGCTGATATTCAAAATTTATTATATTAATGATGATAGTCAAAAATAGTATAGCCTTAGAAGCATCAAATGTACTAACAACTATTGCTTACTTGCATCATATACCTTAATGATAATTTCCATTCAGAAAACATGAAAATGTAATTCCTTTATAAGCACGCCAAAGACTTAAAAACTAGCTCTTCCAGAATACAAGCCTAACTATCTACTGTATTTTTACCAACTCTTCTTGTAACTGGTAAGTACCAGCAGCCTTAATTTAGATATAATTCAACAATTAATTAGTAATATATTATAAAAATACAATTAATTAAAAATAATTTAATTTTTGCAAATAGCTTAATGTCTTTTAGGTTTACTATATGGTATAATTTGTTTC